AGATTAACCTTCAGGGTGGATATAGCTTGCTCACACCGATGACCTATCCATGTCATCATTTACCCAGAATGCTTTGCGTGTAAATAAAATGGCTCCGTCCGTGTTAAAATATTTTATTTAAAAATTATAAAACTAAACAGCCTACAGTATTTTTACAGTCTTTGTTGTACAGTTAAAATATATGTTTATCAAAAAAAGTCTAATGTTGCAACTAATCGTGGATCCCTTTAAAGAGAGAGTTCAGATCTTTTAAAGGGGGATTCTGTGGGAAGCTTTGGAACAATTAATATCTTACCTGTCGTAGAAGGACCTCAGTTTTGAGCAATGGTTTAATACTGATTAAACAGCTAGTTCAGGTGGAGACTATAGTAAACACACAATATTCCACAGCTGTTTGAGCAAATATTAAGTTTATTTAAAAAAGAAATGCCCATTTGTATTTTCACACATATGTTCAAAGTTTATCTGCAAATAAACATTTTTTCTTTTACTATTTTTTTCCCCTTTTTCCTGTTCAGGTGGGTGAGGGAGTTTTTAAATGAAGAGAACAAAGGTCTGGATGTGCTGGTGGAATACCTTTCTTTTGCACAGTACGCCGTCACGTAAGTCTCCACACACTCCCCAGCTTCCCCGTGTCGTTTCTTTTATACGCGCAGAACTCCCAGTCGAAACAACGGCACCATTCTGCACAGCGCCTGACGCATCTCCACACAGCGCCAGCACCGCCGTCACTGCCGCCAGAAACATTGAGTCACTTGTGGTCCATTGCGGACAGATTGTGAATTATAGCAGCCGTATGCTCCTATTCATGAACCGACTCTGTGATTATTAGTCATTCTTAAGCCTGGGTCCAAAGAGTCTCAGGGTAAAGTTTTTAATTCACCCTTTAACATCAGTGTGTATTATTACAGTCTGTCCACATTATGGATGGTCAGCTATAAAGTAGTGTTTATGCAGTCAAAGTCAAGAAAAGGACTCATTTAAAAGCTAAACTGCCAAACACAACAAAACATTAGCTTTATTTCCTGTTCCCAGTGTTCTAATGGACATAGCCACTGTGGCGTCACCTCTTAGGTTACAAAATAGCACATTAAATCCTCAAGACTGTCATTTAATCATAGCCATGTTGTGTTTGTGTAACCAGAGGTGATTGTATTTGACTAATGATGGGTTATTCTTTCTTTTAAAGGAACATATTTAAAAAAGAACAACTTTTCTGTTCTTAAGAGCATATAATTTGGTCAGGATTGCCAACGTCTTGGAAACTCAAGCACTGTTGTTACGTGCTGTATTTCTGTAAATGTCATTGCTAAAAAATTAACAGAGAAGCTAATATTTTTGAAGACAATAAAACTTCCTGTCCGACAGGAGCTTCTGACAATTTAAAATGCAAAGAAATAAATTCAGAATTAAGCCCGGGAATGACGGAGACAGAAAACCTCATTTTAAAATAACGTGAAATAGTAAAATGTGCTATGATAAAAGTTTTTTTTTTGCTGAAAGTATTCCAAACTGTAAGGCTGTAGGTTTAAGTGTTTCCTTGTTGCTGCAGCTACGACGGCGACTGTTTGGAGAACGCCATGGAGGCTGCGATGGACAAGTCGAAGTCCTGGAGTCACTCTATAGAGGACCTGCACAGAGGAGGCACCCTGCCGTCCCCCCTCACAGGAAACGGCATCACCCGAGCAGGGCGGCATTCCACAATCCGGTACGGTGACGTCCTGCGTTGACGTCCACGCTCTGCAACTCTTAGTTTATTTTTCAGCTTTTTTTCATTAGCGTTCGTCTTTCTTTTCTTCGTGTTTCTCTGAAGCCGTATAATTATTTTAAGAAGTCACACTTTTCATATGACGCCTCAGCTGCCTCTTTGTGTAGTCATGAGGTCTGTAAGACTTTAAATATCTTAAGACACATTCAGGCTGGAAAACCTTTTGTCTGGAAATGCCCCTTTTTATTTTTTTTAAGGTTTTCAAACTCATGATTATGAGAAATGACTGACAACTCTTCACGTGATACAGATCTTAAAAACTACGCAAACACTTGTAACTTGTGTTTTTCTTTGTTCTTTATTTGTGGACAGTTGCACCTGTTATTAATTGTGCTGTTATTAATTGTTGCTTTCAAGCACGCCAAGTGACATTGACTGTCTCCTCTGTTCTGTCCTCATCTCCATCCGAAGTCATCTGCTCTTTTGTACGCCGCTCCTCGACAGCAGGCAGGTCGCAGCTCCGCTCGGCTGCTTCGCAGTCGTCTCTGTGCCCCTCTTAAGATGCACGCTTAAAGCGGAGGGCCGAGTCTCGCACATGCGTTCCCGTACACGGCCCTCCTGCCTCATTGTACTTTGTGCCACCCTGGTAGAGCTGCCTGGTTTATTTGTGCTGCTGTCTGTGTCTGCCATGTGAATTATTTGTACTGCCAGCCTGCAGCAACCCCCCTCTGCGTCGGCTCCTGGGCCCCGAGACTGAAATCTCCTTCCCTTTTGGAGCAAAAGGGTTGTTTTCTCCCACTCGCTGCTCCTGCCTCTTGTTTTCTTCTGCTGCTTGTGAGGTTCCCTAAATGCCATTCTCTGCTGAGTGTAGCCTAGATTCTGCAGCAGCCATAAAGAAGCTGAATGTCAGGATAAAATGTACAGATGGAACCAGCAGCTTTCGAAGAATTTCTGTATTTTGGATATACTGTATTTTATGAAAATAGACCAAATTTACTTGCAAAATACAGTATTACTTTATTAGTCTTAACTTCCACTATACATAAAAAATCCACTATAAAAAATACCATTTCATAGTTAGAAAACTACGGAGCCATTTTGATTTGGCCATTTTTGTTCTTAAACCATTTTTATGATGTTTCCATGTCAGTTTTTCATCAATCATGTCACCTAGAAACTTCACTTCACTGACTCTACAGATGTCTACATCATCAATTTTAAATGAAACATCTATAGTTTTCTTATTGTTACAGAAAATCATATAATTTGTCTTGTCCAAGTTCAATGATAATTTATTTAGTTGAAACCAACTTTGTATTTTCACAAATTCTGTCTGTACTTTCTCCAACATTTGTTTTATATCTTTACCGGAACAAAAGAATGTTGTATCATCAGCAAATAGGACACACCAAAAAAAGATCCGACACATTTACCAAATCGTTCACATACAAAATAAATAACTTAGGTCCGAGATTGGAACCCTGTGGCACTCCACATGAGATGTAGTAGTATTAATAATAACAATAACAATAATAATAATAATAATTACATTACATATCAGCATATCATCTAATTCATACTGAGCCCGCAAGGGGACATGGGGGCTTTCTTTTCGTTTTGCGTTCACACACAAAAGTATTGCGTTACCTCGCAATACCTTTTGCGTTCCCTCGCAAAAGTCGTTAAACACTGTTGTGCCTGCCGGTTTATTAACAAACTCACATGTTTACCATTAGCGAGTTAGCCTACTGCTTTAATTCAGCTTCAGAATAAATATATCACACAGCCACGCATGGAAGTATGTCATATACCGATATTTTAACACAGTGCAGCCACGCAACATCAACGTCAATTTCATGAACTTGTGGCGACACATCCTGTTTTGGTAACCGGATGTTTCAAAATAAAAGTGATTTAATTCAGTTCATATACAAAACAAACTTTTGCATGGGAGTGCAAAACAATTTTGCGAAGTAACGCAAAAAGTTTTGCGAGGTAACGCAAAGATATTGCGAGGTAACGCAAAAGTATTGCGAAGTAACGCAAAGATATTGCGAGGTAACGAAAAAGTATTGCGTGAGAACGCAGAAGAAAAAAAAACCCATGTCCACTCGCAGGCTCCGTAGAAAAACCCCATTGCAAGTGCACAAATTTACCAGATAAATTTACGTCGTTATACCGTCCCGATATATTTGCTCCAAACTTATTTGTGCTAAACTTTCCTTTAGGATCCTAGATGTGATTTTTCATAAATATCCAAACATGTTTTTTGAGCTTATTGAGTTGCTTAATTCCAATAGCGTTTTCATATAGCAACCTCCGCTTTTATCCAGTTAACCTGGGACTGGGAAAAGATAGGCTTTGCTGTGTGCATTTCTAACCACAAAATGGTCTATTGCTTAGTTAGTTTATTAACCCTTCTGCTTTTATTTGCATTTTTGGCTCTAGAAAACTCCACAACTAGTTCTTGAAGTCAAACTAAGTCTTGTCTCTGTGTCCTCTTCAAACTGCCATCTTATAGGACATCGAGCGCACTGAACTGTCCAAAATGTTCTCAGATGAGACGGTATGTCCAAAGAGTTAGGAGTCATATAACATGTAGATGTGTCAGTCCTGCACTTGTATAGCCTGTAGTTGTAGTTCTAGAATGTGTTGTCGCTCTGTGGTGCACTTAATGTTTTACTTGTTAAAGTCTCGATTTGTGGAAATGGACTGGTTGTTTAGGTCTTGTACTTTTGTTTTCAAACTTAAGATGCGTAACTGCAGCTGTGAACGTATTTCTTTCATGAGTCAATATCCTTTCACAGCTTGAAAGAAAAGTTTTAATTCTTGTTTACGCCTTGAATGCTGTAGCTTTGCTACTTTTTGTTTGTTCTTACACTAAATTATATTGTAGTTATTACAGTTATCCAAAATTGGTCCATTTTTGAAGATTTTATTTTCTTTTAAATGTCTTTCTTCTAATAAACAGGCTAAAGTGTAGCTGTTTTAGTTCATAACTATACATGTCAACCCCTTTGGGGCGTTTATTAGGACCCTCGAAAAAGGAGCAAGGGAAGGCAGGTGGGGAACTTATTTTATTTTTATTTCAGCTGCATCTTAGTTCGTATGTTGATTAATTGTAAGCAGGAAACTCCTGGAAAGAACAGTTTGKGGATCATTTTTCTCTCTGTGCACCAGCTTGGTTCAGTTCTATCAGGACGAGTCTCATGAATCGTTTGCATTTATTTTTAGCAGCTTATTTTAAGCACTTTCTTTTATTTTCTGCAGATTCATTTATCTAAACACTAAAATAAGGCCCAAGTTTGTTGTTAATAAGGCCTTAAATATCACTGCTTAACCATGTGTGTCCCGAAATGGCCTCTTTAAAAAAAAAAAAGACAAAACAAACACACCCAGACGCAGTTCTGATTCACAGAGGTCACGCCTGCGGGCCGGCAGGCTGACAGAACCCAGCATGTCTAACAGTCACCTGAAGAAACGTTTTTTCCACAGAAATCGGACTCATAATTGAAGAATGTGAGGATAATGTGGATATAAACAGTTTTGCTCTGAATGGATCAGCAATTCTGCTGCTCCAGAATTTTTTTTGTCCACATTAACCTGCACAACCACTGCGCTGCATTCAAATGACTGGCAGCTGTTGTGTTATTCAGAATGAGATCTCTGTGAAGGGCGTCGACTTAAAACAACTGTAGCGAACATGAATGACAGATTATATAGCTTTTGTTTTGTGTTGTTAAAAAGCACCGTGGCACTTTGATGTTTATCAAGAAGACATTGTGTTTCTTGTTTACTCACTCACACACCGTATTTTCTTTCTTCCTAACTTCTTTGCGTGTGTTTTTTATGATTATTTTTTACAGCAGCAACACACTGCCGAGCCGGAGAACACTGAAAAACTCCCGACTGGTCTGCAAGAAAGATGACGTTCACGTCTGCATCATGTGCCTACGCGCCATCATGAACTACCAGGTGAGCCCCTCTGTAGTCCACAGGGGGGCACCCACAGTGACAGCGTGACCTTTTTGGACTGAAGCGCAACCATCTATCTGAAGCCAAATTCAATTTTCTCCACTGCTGGCTCTCCATGGTTTATTTATTAGCTGGGAGAACTCACTGGTTCCTCGTTTGTTTGTTTTTTTTCTGTTCATTAACTTATTTGTCTCTGTCTCTTCCCCCTTTTTATTGTTTCTCTCCCAGTATGGCTTCAACATGGTCATGTCACACCCACACGCTGTGAATGAAATTGCACTAAGTCTCAACAATAAAAACCCAAGGTAAGTTCAAAACAGAAGCTGACAAATCACTTGGACTGACATCCCTAAAGAAGCATTAGTCTCAACGTAGCTGCAGCCTGAAGCAGAGTGAGTGTTTCTGACGCGCTGAGACATTCAGAAGGACTGGTGAAAGCACCGCCGGCTCACTCCACTGAGTCCGAGACCAGAAACACTCTGGTGTGTGTGTGTGTGTGTGTGTGTGTGTGTGTGTGGATGCTTGTGGTTTCAGACCATGCCTAAAGGTAAAAAGGTTGTCCTGAGAAGTGAATGTGAGACCACTTCACATCACCTGTCACATTCAGTCTCATCCAGGCAAAGAAGTGCTGAGTCACTGAAGTGAAAACGGCACCRCAAACACACTTAAACACTCCAAAACATGAGCTAGTGTTCTAAATCTCAAATTCTCCTTGTTATTAGTTTGAATATTTGTAAAGATTATGCAGAATTATTATATTCAGCTTTTTGAACGGCTTCGATTTGGAGAAATAGTGGTTAGTTCTGACCGGATCGACAAGCTAATGGCTAGTGCAATTATGGCCAAGAACAAAGGGGAGTTCTGCTTCCCTGAGATGACTGCAATTTTATAAACCTGACTAATATCTATGGATATTTAAAAGCTCAAATAGCAACAGCAGCAGCTAGCTTTAGCCTGTTTGGTTCACTCTAAGGAACCTTTGATAAAAACATTTTCTCTGCCTTGGTCTTGACCCATCTCAGACTAGCCATTAGCTTGTCAATATGGATTAAAATAAATTATTTTCCTAAACTAATGTTTAAACTCCTATCTACAACAGGTGAGATAATAATTGTTCTCTTATTCATGAACTTTTACTTCAAAAGGCCTGAACCATCAATTTAGCTGCAATAAACAGTGTAGCTGTCGTAATTACGTGTAGATTCATGCTCCCAAATCGTTTCAGTGATGATGTGATGTTAAATTACATTTCCTGCATCGTTCTTTGCTCTGTGTTTTAAGTATAGGCCTCCTGCAGCGCTCTTATGGCTCTCATGTCCTCACCATTTCTGCTTTGACTTTCTCTGTGGTTTACAGAACTAAAGCTCTGGTTTTGGAGCTCCTGGCGGCAGTTTGTCTCGTCAGAGGAGGCCACGAAATCATTCTCTCTGCGTTCGACAACTTTAAAGAGGTACGACCTGCGCCGAAAAGGTGAACCAGGGGGGCGGCGGGGGAACCAGTGTGTCCTTACATTCCAAACTGCGCTTTCAGACAAGGACTCAGCCTCTGGGAAATGCTTCTCCAGCAGATTCCTCCTCTCTTCAAAGGGGTCCGCATCCTCTKGTCGACAGATTAGAGGCACCCGTTCAAAGGTGTAACGTGGGCCGGCCCCCGAGCAGCCRTCAGAGAAAACCGTCCCGTACGTGTTAAGATTTGTCAGGCTCGTCGAAGCTGCAAACAGCAAGGATGGCTGATGTGAAAGATAGCCTCTGTTGACCCCTCGCCTGTCTGGACGAGGCGTTCTGCCTGCTAGACGGAAGAGTGGGAGCTAAAAACACGACCTCRTTTTGTAGCGTTAAAAACCTAAGGCGACTGCGGTTTATGTAATATTTACACCCCTGAATAAAATATTGAGAGTTGCTCTCGGCGACGGTGGCATTAGTGGGGAGAATAAGGCTTTAGCCAGAGCAGAGCTAATCTAATGAGGAGGCAGAGAAAATGTTTCTGATACTATAAACCGCAGCAGGCACGTCGGGATGGAGGCAGATTGATTAATTTTTATCAACAAGTAATGCTATTAGATCTACTTTGCTGAGTTTAATTAGGTGCTTAAAGGAGCTGCAGGCAGAGGCTGGAGGTTTTTGAGTAAACACACTTTTCCTTTTAAATTCTTTAATATACTCTCTCTGCCTCGCTACCCTTTCAGTGACCTGTCAGAACCGCAAAGCATCTTTATCTACTCAGATTTAGTTTTCTGTCTACTTCAAAAAGGCTTATTTTTGTTAAAAGAAATAAAAAAACACCATATCTGAGGTTTGAGTTTCACCCCACAGATGCTGAACATAGAGCTGTAAATAAGATGAAAGCAGCAACGTATGAATAATTTATTCCAACAATAATCTGAAAAATGCTTTTTTTTTTTTTCCACGATCAGAGGAAGTCGTGACGTCTTTATCGGCTGTTTTAATTGCACCGAATGCCGCTGCTGATAAATCAGAGATCTGAAGCTAAAATCACGAGTCGCTTTGTAAAATTTTTTGGTTCGACAATATTCATGCTAATCACCGACTCCATGCGTCGGTTCGCTCCTACAGTGAAAGTGTGCTGTGCTTCGCAGGTTTGCCAGGAGTCCCAGCGGTTCGAGAAGCTTATGGAGTACTTCAAAAACGAGGACAACAACATTGACTTCATGGTGTGTACAAACAAACTCCTAATGACTATCGATTGCGTTTGCAGGGGAACACCACCCAGATCCCTCATCTGACAGGAAATGGCTTGTGAAGCTTTTTTGAGCCCCAGAGGGACGTACTCAGTGTATTCCCTGTTAAGGATGTTTTGGGAAAGCTAAATGAATTAATTAATTTGTGCTAACCCAACCCTACAAATACAACAATACGGAATAAGCAGGCAAACCTTCTTTTCACTTTCAGGATAAAATAATATGATTATTCTGGTTAAGAAAAATTATTATGACTGTGAAGAAAGTACTAATTTGGCAATGCAATGGCTCAGTGGTTCAAGGGTTTTATTCCCAGTGCGGACTAGGGCTGCAACGATTAATCGATTAATCAACGACTAATCGATTATTAAAATAATCGACTAATTTAATAATCGATTAATCG